TTCTTGTTTTGTTGATGGTTTCTTTTGCTATTGATGGTTTCTTTTGCTAGTTTCATTTTTTTGCATGCACCTGGCCAATTTTTCCAGCACCGTTTATTGAAGAGACTGTCTTGACTCCATTGTATGCTCTTGCCTCCTTTGTCAAATATAAATTAGCAGAGTGGTTTGGGAACAGCCTTTTTAAACAGTATAATTTTAGAGAAAGAAGGGACCCTTGAGTTTATTTAATTCATCTGTCTTCATTTGCCATTGGGAATCAATTTTAAGAGAATCAAAGACGGTGAAAAATCCAAATGGCTCTTTGTCAAATCCAAGCTTCTTCATTCTACAACCCAAAAGAAACCAACAAAGCATTCCCAGCAAACTAACCCAGACTAATTGTTTTAGAGTAGTATAGGTAAATACTTGGTAATAGAAGTCTAATTGTTTTTCTTGTCACTTAATCATAAAAAGTTCCTAGATCTTGCTTGTGCCTAGAGCTTCTTTGTGGGAGAATAGGAACTATGTGGGTTTTATTACTGTTATCTTTGCCACTGAGATAAATATTGGACCACTCCTGGTTTTGTTTTTATTTTTTTAGAATAAATGTTAGTTTTATGACATAAGAGACATCTTAACCTACTTGTTTGTAGAACCTTGATCTGCTTGATAACATAAAGTTGATATCTGGAATGCCTGATGGCTTATTGGGCCTCATAATTGTAAATTAGTTTCAAAAGAATAGCAGCATAGAGATAGAAGACTCAGAACGAGTGATTAGCTTTTCTCAAGATTTACTGAGATGAGAATTTTCATAATTGGTGTAAGTACTGCTTGAGTTTTTATCCTTGGCTAAGACCATTGCCTTTTCAAGTATTATGACTCTTAGAGTTTTGAGTTATTTATTAGATTAATGTGGGATGCTGGGCAGTCCTATAGTGATTATCCTTTATAAAACTAAATATATTGAAATTATAGAGGTTGTGAATATTAAATATATTTTATAGAATTTTAGCTTCTACATATTTAGGATGCCAGGTTACATATCTACATTAGGTTTAACCTGATGCACCCCTTTAGAATTGTTGTCTTAAAGATGTTATATTTATCATATGAGCAGGTTGTCTCCAGTTTTTTTATAAAGAAGATAGGCTAGCAAACAATATATAATATAATTCATATTACTAATACAAAGTTCCAAAAATGGGGCTTTTGAGTTCACTTAAATTATTGTTATGTATTTTTACATAACAATACATAACTTGGTGCTGGGGGAAATGCTTGGTGCTGGGGGAGGATGAAGAAGGTAAAGGGGTAAAATTTATGATGACAGAGAGAAACTAGACTTTGTGTGTTAAGCATACAATGCAATATGCAGATGATGTATTATAGAATTGTATACCTGAAACTTATATAATGTTACTAACCACTGTCTCGCCAATAAACTTAATAAATAAATAGCGCTAGCTGGTTTGGCTCAGTGGATAGAGTGTCAGCCTGTGGACTGAAGGGTCCTGGGTTTGATTCTTGTTAGGAGCTCATGCCTGGGGTTGTGGGCTCGATCCCCAGTAGAGGGGATATGCAGTAGGCAGCCAATCAATGATTCTCTCTCATCATTGATGACTCTATCTGTCTTTCCCTTCTCCTTTTCTCTCTGAAATCAATAAAAATATATTTAAAAAATTAAATAAATGCTCTAGCTTGCTGAGAAATTTTTATGAATTTGACATATTATTCTTCTAGATATATCATAAGCCTAGCATTTTAGTTTATATGCTTTTAGATGGCAGGCAGCCACTAATTATAAATTGTAATCCAGATTTATTTGTAAGTAGATTTTGGTTAGGTCTTGGAATGCATTTTCCTTTAGAAATATAGATAAATCAGGATTCCTGCAAACTCAGACTTAAGATGAGTCTGAGATAAGCATAACCAATGGACATAAGACACTGGGGGATAGGGGAGGCTAGGGGACTGTCTAGGGCGGGGGGGAAAAATGGACACATATGTAATACCCTTTGTAATAAAAAATTAAAAAAAAAAGATGAGTCTGAGAATATCTTAAATTGAGTAAAGGGCCTAAGTTTACCGGTTGTATGTAAGTGGGCATGTGTGGCAAACTGGACAGCATATATGATGTGTATGATAGTACGATAGTGCAACTCTGTGATTCATTATTTGCAGCCATCTGAGAGTGAAGGCCTGGTTTTGCCAGATTTTTTCCTTCTTTTTCTTAAATAAGATCCAGAAATCTGAATTTTTTTTGTAAAATTCATAATAGTAATAAAATGTTGTAAATTTTTTTGAGTGAATACTGAAGGCCAAATTTGATGTGTCAGTGGCCTGGTGAGGAACATGGGCCTCAGTTTGTAGCTTCCTTTATACTAATATTTTGATTCTCAAGTTAACCTATAGAATGCTCTGTGAGTTGTAGTGTAGATAAGTTATAATATTGACCTCGGTTCTGGGAGCAAGGCATATGGGGCTAAAGTGATGTTAGCTCCTTTTCCTGGGTCTCAAGTAAAATTGTTGGGAATATTGGACAGGTTTTGAAGAGGCCAAGTTAGGTAATTCTTCACATTTTGCCATTCTTTGTTGTAGAATATGTTGCTCTGAGTCATCCAGAGACTTCATAATACCTTTAGTTGTTCTTTTGTGACCTGCTTTACTCCTTGCCTCCCAGAAGGACATATACACTGAGTGGCCAGATTATTATGACCGACCAGATTATTATGACCACTCCATCAGTACTTCATTGACACTTCCAAAAATACTGAATATTGAAAACTTCCTAAGCAAATACTCTCAAGGTTTTATTATTATTATTATTATTATTATTATTATTTGCATAACGAATTCTTCATTGTACTGATGGATGGTCATAATAATCTGGCCGGTCATCATAATATGGCCACTCAGTGTATGTTCTCCATCTTTTAGAATTCTCATTTACTTCTTCCATTAATGAGGAAAACAATCAAAACAAATTTATGCCACCTTAATAGATAGAAACATTGGTATTTATATATTTGGAAGTTGTGCTTATTAACAAATAAATGTTGACTTGAGGCTTCCACACATTGCAGTAAAGTAGAGTTAGTATAATTAAGCTCTTTGGGAGGATATTAATTAGTTGTGATAGAATCTAGATATCTACAAGGTACCAAAAACATAAACTCGCTGAATCTGTAGACTTTGTCTAAAAGTTCGCAGTTAGAGATTCTTCACTGACTCTCTTGCTTAAATCCACAGTGCTATTATCATCTCTGGAGGACCTAATTCTGTGTATGCAGAAGATGCTCCCTGGTTTGATCCAGCAATATTCACTATTGGCAAGCCTGTTCTTGGAATTTGCTATGGCATGCAGGTACATCTGTAAATTTGCCTTAAGAGCTGACTTAATTTTATTCTGTTTGTGAATTCCACTCTATTAGTATTTTCTGTCTTTAGACTAGGATATTTAGTTGTATGAGATTATTTGTGCATATTATATCTGTTTGTGAGTTGTTACACTGGTAAGGCAGAATGGACCTGAGTGGGAATCTATTTTTAGAAAAGTAGCTCTATTACTGCATATAACAAATATTGTCCATTAAAATAAAAACAAGTTTGACATTCAAATTTACATAAAAGTAGCAGAAATAGTACACAGAGCTCCTGTATACTTTTGCTTAGTTCCATTGACATTTTTAATCATTTGAGAGTAAGTTGCAGACTTGGTATCCTTTCTTTGTATTTCCTAAGTACTAGAACTTTGCCCTACATAGCCACAGTACAACTATCAAAATCAGAAGTTAACATTAATTCAGTGTTAGAATCTAATCCACAGACTTAATTCACATTTCACTGTTTTTCTTACTAATGTCCCTTGTAAATCCAGGATCCATTTCAACCATGTGTTATATTTAAGTTGTCATGATTCTTTGACTCCTTTAGTTTGGACCCATTTCTTTGTCTTTCCTTCCCTTTCATGACCGAGATAGGTTTTATTTTTAAGTTACTTTTTACACTATCCCTCAGTTTTGGTTTGTATGATGTTTCTTCATTGTTAGGTTCAGGTCATATATTTTTGGCAGGAGTACCACAGAAGAGATGCTGTGGTCTTCCCAGAGCATATCATTAGGAGACATACAATGTTGATTTGTGCCTTGACTGGTGATGTTAATTTTGGTCATTTGGTTATGATGGTCATTGTAATATTAATAATTATTTGTATGTTGGGGCTGTACAAAAGGAAGAATAAATAGGGACTAATTGAGATGTTGATATAAGCTATTCTCCTAGGAGCGAAATGTTTAGAAATATATTTTGGCTCGTTTAATGTATTTTTTGCTTACTTTATTTTTAAGTAGTATAAGTTTAACAGGTAAGTAGATGTGATTATTGAATAAGATGATAAATAATACTGAGCCTATAACATGTTACATTCTCATTTATCAAAGAACTAGGGGCCCAGTGCACGAATTCACCTTGAAAGGAACTGTGGGCCGCAAGGCTGTGGTGAGCATAGGGATGGGTCTCGGCCCATCCTCCATGCCCCCGCCTGGCCCCTACTGCCACGGCCTGGTCCCCTGTCTGCTGGCAGCCCTGCTCCCACCACCGCCGCTCCCATGCACCGATGGCGCCGGCCCCACTTGCACCCACTGATAGCGTGGAGTGATTGGGGCCTGTGCCAGCAGCGGGAGCGAGCAGCGGCTGCTGCCTCTCACCCCTCAGGAGCAGGGGGAAGTGGATAAGTCCTCAGTGGCAATTGGGGCTGGCGCCTGGCGCCAGCAGTGGGTGCAAGCAGTGGCTCCAGTGCTGGCTGTGGGTGCAAGCAGGGCCTGCACCGGCAGTGGGTGTGAGCGGCTCCAGGGCCGGCAGCAGATGCGAGAGGTGTCTGCTGGCCCCAGTCGCCCCTCAGGAGTAGGGGGAGGTAGAGAAGCCCTGAGGGGCGATTGGGGCCAGCAGCCGCTGCTTGCACCCACTAATGGTGCCGAGCAATCGGGGCCGGCACCGGTTGCTGGCAGAGGGTGCAAGCAGCTGCTCCGGTGCCAGCTGCAGGTGTGAGTGGGGCTGGCGCCTGCAGCAGGTGCAAACGCTGGGCGGGACCGTGGCACACAGGAGCAAAGAATTTTCAGTAACCACCAGAGGCTTGCCCAGGTGACAGTGACTGGAGCCCCGCCTTGGTCAGGTGCCCCCACTTACCTGCTTCACCATCCCGCCGCGGCTGACACCCACCATGTTCCGTGCTCTGCTGCCAACATCTGCCATGTTCCACACGCGCCCCCGGTGGTCAGTGAACGTCATAGCCACTGGTTGTTCCGTTGTTCCGCTGTTCAGTCTATTTGCATATTAAGGTTTATATATATAGATAATTTCTTCAATATAATCTATTTACTGAGAAGGTGTGAATATAAATAAATACATTTAAGAAAAGTTATCCCTGGTGATAAGCAAAATGACTTTCCAGTTAAGATAATTTTAAAAATGCATTTTATTTAACCAGATCATCTGAAAATTGAATTAGATGGGAAAGTATTCCCTGAGTAATACATTATTAGTAACTGACATGTTATAGTATTTTGACTTTTCTAGCTAGTGTCAGAAGCAATGTACTTTTTTTTTTTTAATGCAGAATTTTCTGCCATGATAAGAATAGCCAAGTAAATATAGTGACTGTGGATTAACTGGTTTATGAATTATCTTGACCTCTTTTCCCTTTGACCAGCTTCTGGCTTAGCACATACTAAAGTGGAAGGGAGGATAGGGTCAGAATACAAGTGGAATTAATGTAATTGTGAGATCCTAATTGACCAAAATGGAATTGGTGTTAATTAAAAATCAGCTTTTTCCAAACCAATGGACATGGACAACAGGGGGATGCAGCTTTTTAATTTCCTCATAACCTGGTCTTCCCTAATTGATTATTGAGAATTACCTGTTAATTTTTAATTTCTTGCATAAATGACTTGATAAAGATGTATCATTTTTCCCAATGGCTGAGTTGTTTTAAGTCCTTGTATTGAGCATAATTTAAATTTTTGTAAGTTGGCAAAACCAGTCTGATTGAAACTGTTGTGCATTAATATGAATATTGTACCGGGGAAGCTGTTTAAAAGGTAGAAAGTGAACAGACCAATATATTTTCTTCTAACTGACTCTGGAGTTTCAGTGAAGGAAAGAAATATAAATCAATCTATCTAGCCCTAACCGGTTTTGCTCAGTGGATAGAGCGTTGGCCTGTGGACATGTAGTCCAGTATAGGTCAACATAGGTTTACAGTGACTTTAAGAGAACATTAAGTGCCCTAACCGGTTTGGCTCAGTGGATAGAGCATTGGCCTGCAGAGTGGGCGGCGTGCAGGAGGCAGCTGATTGATGTTTCTCTCTCATTGATGTTTCTAACTCTCGATCCCTCTCCTTTCTTCTCTGTAAAAAATCAATAAAATATATTTTTAAAAATATTTTTTAAATAAATCAATAAATCAATCTATGTATATATAAAAACCTAAGTGACCGAACAACTGGTTACTATGACGTGCACTGACCACCAGAGGACAGGCACTCAATGTAGGAGCTATCCCCTGGTGGTTAGTGTACTCCCACAGTGGGAGCGCCACTCAGCTGACCAATGGGTGCCAGATGCAGGGCTCATAGCTGGCAAGAGCCACTGTGGTGGTGCGAGCCTCCCTCGATTGGGACTGACTGGGCACGAGCCCGCGGCAGGTGCAGCAGGGCCGGGATGAGCGGGAATGGCAGGCAAGAGAGGCAGGCAGTGTTGGACTGCTGGTTTCGCCCCATCCCTGCAGGCCAGGGATCCAGCTGAAACCGGCAGTCTGACATCCCCTTGGGGTACTGGATTGCGAGAGGCACAGGCCAGGCTGAGGACCCCACCGGTGCACAAATCCGTGCACTGGGCCTCTAGTGTTCATATAAAAATGTGAATATTATTTCTATTTTTGATATAAGAGCAGGATATTAAAAATCACTGGTCTAGAAGAAAGCTTTACCAGACTTCATTTCTTGCTAATTGTTTGTTATGGTTATCCACTTTGATTTAGAAGAAATACTGATCACTAAAAATATGTCAAGTACAAAGTAAAAACTCTACAATAGATATTTTCTTCTATAGGCAAATAAGAATTGCATAGTAAAAGGCTCGTTTTCCCCTGTTAATGTTTTCTGAAAAGCCAAATGGTGTTATGAATTTGAGTTGGATAATAACTTATTTTTAGGTTTTCCCACTTAATATTCAAAAGAATATATATTTTTAGAAGAGCCTGCATCTCATTGCGTTGAACATTGGAAATTGGCTGACTTTAAAAATATACCTTTGCCCCAGAATATAACTTATTGATCTCCTTTGCCAGAGTAGTCAATATTAATTATATAGCACAACTTAATAATTAAGTTAAAGGGTTTTGGTATACTATACTGAGAGGCATTTTAACATCTTGTAAAGAAGAGTCTCACAGGATTTTTTTTTCCACCCACTTATAGTAAAATTGGTCTGGAAAATGCTTCCTTAATTTAAATGGTAGAGGCTGACTATTTCTCCATTATGTCAGCTCTCCATATAAATATAAGGCCACATTTTGCTGTCATTCAATAGGGATGTTATGGTAGCCAGGGCCAGACCTACTTATGTTAAACGCATAAAAAGGTTTGCCTTTATATCATCAGCTTTCATAGTAGAATAATGGAATAGACTTGCCACTTCTTAAGGACTTACATGGGCAGTTTTAGCACCGAAGGTCTCACTTGAATGGTACCTTTGTGTACCCCTTTGGCATCCTGAAACTTCAGTAATTTACATATTTCTGTACCATATTTCTCCATTAACTATACTCTCTTGTATGAGCCTTTCTAATTGCGTCCTATTAATTGCTTTTCTTTGGAAGAAAAGAAATCTTTAGGAGGAAAAAATTCTTTGCTTCCTTCTCCTTTTATCTTTATTACTAATTTACTCCCAATTAGCATTATAAATAGAGTATTAGTAGAACTTTTGAAACTTCCTTTATACTTTTCTCTCTCTACATTCTTCTCTTCTCCCACCAGGAGTAACACTTTATTACACATAGGTTTATATTGTGAAATAATATATTTGCCTACTGACCTTAATATAATTGAAATCATACTGCATGTATTATTTTCAACTTTGGTTTTGAGATTCATCCGTGTTAATACATTTTAATTGTATGTTATTTATTTCCACTATTGAATTTATTGTTTTAATATATCACAGATTATATATTCCACTGTTAGTATTACTGTTTTTTTTCCAGTTTTTGCTATTACAGGCAGCACTGCCATAAATATTTTTGTACTTTTTTTCTATGTTGTACATACACAAACTTTTCTCTAGGGCAGTGGTTCCCAACCTTCCTAATGCCGTGACCCTTTAATACAGTTCCTCATGTTGTGGTGACCCCCAACCATAAAATTATTTTCGTTGCTACTTCATAACTGTAATTTATACTGTTATGAATCGTAATGTAAATATCTGCTATGCAGGTTGTATTTTCATTGTTTCAAATTGAACATAATTAAAGCATAGTGATTAATCACAAAAACAATATGTAATTATATATTCAGTATGTGTTTTCCGATAGTCTTAGGCGACCCCTGTGAAAGGGTCGTTTGACCCCAAAGGGGTCGCGACCCACAGGTTGAGAACCGCTGCTCTAGGGTAACCATAAGTTGAAATGCTGTCTCAGCTTCACTAAGTAATGATATTCCCACTTTCTTCCACCAACTCCCCCACTTCAACACACCCACTTCTTCCCCATTTGCGTTTCCTCAGCAGTATATAAAAATTCTTGTGCTCCATATCCCTGCCAATCCTTGACATGGTCAGATTTTTTTGTTGTTTTTATTTTTCTATCTGAGGAGGCACTAAATAGGATCACATTATAGTCTTAGTGTTCATTTTGCTTATTGTAAAATTTGTATGCTTATTTGCCGTTGTGTCTGCTTTACTGTAAAACATGATTTTTGCCCATATTCTATTAAATTGTTTTTTAAAAATTCATTTGTATATGTTGAATACTAAATTTTCGCCACTTATGTATATTGCAGACAATTTTACAGAGTGTGACTTCATTGCAGATAGTTTCTGGATTGTGTGATTTTTCATTCTTTATAATTTCATTTGGGTTTTTAATTGTTTTTTTAGAGTTCTAAGAAACATCTTTATTACAAGCACTTGATTTTTTACACACTTCCACAAGGTTTTGTCAAATTGTTTTTATTTACAGAATTTCTCTGTTTTCCTCCCAAACCTAATATTGTAAAGCTTTGGCATATAATATAGATAAAATAGGGGCTGATCTGATGGGGGTGGTAGATCTGGAGTACTATAGGGATTTCTTTGAGGCATTTAGGACTTTGGGATTTTCAGGAATCCATGCTGAAAACCATTTCTTTAAGTTAAAATAGAATATTAAAACAAAAATTTAATAAGATAGTAAATTATCTTTATTACACATAAAATTATCCCCATCTCCCCCAAACACACACTTAGCTGATTGTTCAAATCCTTGCACTTTAAAAAAAAAATTATTGATTTGAGGGGGAGAGAGAGAGAGAAAGAGGGAGGGAGAGAGAAAGAGAGAGAGAGAGAAAGAGAAAGAGGGAGGGAGAAACATTAATTTGTTGTTCCACTGTTTTGTTTTTGTTTATTGGTTTCAGAGAGAGAGAGAGACTTGCTGTCCTACCCACTTATATTTTCGCTGGTTGATTGTTTGTATGTGCCCTGACTGGAGATAGAACCCACAACCTTCGCTTATGGGGAGGATTTTCTAACCAACTGAGCTACTTGGTCAAGGTCTTAACTCCTTGTACTTTCAACCTTAAATTGCGTAGTCAGGAACCAAAAATAAGTATGAAAGCCTCTGAACAGGTGATATAGCTTTAGACTTTACTGCAAGCCATTGGCTTTATAAAAAGCCTTTAATTTGGAGCTTTATGGACTTTAAAACTGTATAGAATTCCAACAGCTTTGGTTATCTTGATTGTTCAGCTGTCTTGTGTA